GGGCGCCGGGTGGATTTCTCTCCCGCGGGGAGGAAGCGAGCCGTGAGGGAGAAAGTGGCCGCGGCTTGGGCCCGACAGGAGCCGCTTGAGCACGGTAGGGGCAGGAGGCGCTGAGGTTTCCCAGGGGCTAGTTCCCATTGAGGTATGGGGCAATCCTAGCTGGGCTTGAGCGGCAGCGCAGCTCGGGCTTAACCCACCGGATGTTTTTCAGATGTGTTGCAAAGTGCAGTTGGTATTATTATATTTTTGTCCTGCCTTTATGTTTATATGTATATGTGATACACACACACACACACACATTAAAATATTATATTTAAGTTGAATATATTTAACTCAATATACAGATATCGTATTTTTGTCCTGCCTTTATGTTTATATGTATATGTGATACACACACACACACACACATTAAAATATTATATTTAAGTTGAATATATGCAACTCAATATACAGATATCGATATAGTCAACGTGCGTAATATTCCTGCCTGCTATTTTCCAGTTCTTGTCATGTTGGCCATGATGGGCTGGAAAAGTTGAGGTAGTCAAACTAAGATTCAACCAGAATTAGTTTTTAAAGTTCATATTTAATTATACAATTAAATTTTATATCTGTGTGTGTGTGTGTGTGTGTATATATATATGTACACACACACACACACTATGTATAGTATATATATAGTAATTATATCATTGTGTAATCATTATGCATAATTAATGCTATTTTAATTATATAATATGTCATTAATATGAAAGTTAAGGCTAAGAGAAAGCCTAAGACAGACTCTTGTATAATGTATGGTGTTATTTGCAATGATTTCCGTGCCCTCCGGCTCTGAAGGCTGCCCTGCGGGTTGTGCTTCCTCTAGAGGCTGTCACTCTGGATCCTGCTCCTTTCCCCCACTGTGTCATCCCAGGTTTTATCCCCAACGAGGACTTCCTGGAAGAGCTGCGGAAGGAGCTCCTGAGCCTGGATTTCCATGAAAAGTGCAATGATCTGTACAAGTTCAAACAGGTGAGTGTTCCAAATTAACACAAACTCTACCGAGGGGTACCAGTATCCCAATACAAGTAAACATTGCTTACCGACTGCCTCATTCAGTGACCATTCAAAGTTATGAGGGTGCTGAAAAAATAACTTTACGACCAGTGTGCGCATTTCCGACTTTGACCACGTCCCTCGGTCATGTGATCGCCATTACAGTCAGTACACGTTGCAGAGTGGAGTGATTGGAGAGGAATGGATTACAAGAGAGTAAGCAGGCACACAATGGGGAATACACGGCTGCTTGCATAGCACGCTTGGGGCTGCTGGTGCCACCACATTGCTTTTGATGTGTATTCCCCATTGTATGCCTACTTATTCTCTTGTAATCCTTTCCTCTCCAATGAATGTAAATACAAGCATTAATTCCCTTGCTAATTATCGCAGTGCCAGGGTGAGCATTCGAAGGGCAGGGGAGTGGGGTAGCACATTTGTGGTCACATGATTTCCCACTTAGTGACCACTTTGCTTAACGACAGAGCTGCTGGTCCCAATTGTGGTTGCTAAACAAGGACTACCTGTATGGTTTTCTTCTGCAAGAGCTCCCATTCCTGAATAATCGAATGTATCTTTCTTGTTGTGAAGTCAGATGACCTAAAGAAGAGAGGAGAGTCCCACATTGCGGCATTAAGGTAAATTTGCTAATCATATATGATGGCCAAATCAAAACAATAGGGCTAATTTACACCTTGTGCTTATTCCTGAGTTGATGTAGTGGGAATCTACACATGTAGGCTTAATATTTTTTGCAAAATATGCCACTGTGGTATGTTCAACAAATTGTGGTGTAAGAAATACAGATTTAGCTTTATGTGAAGATGCAGCCTGGGCGTCTTCTGAAAGTAAAGCAATTGTTGACACCTTATTTTCCCATTTAGAACAATTGTGCTGGTTTCAATCATTGTCCAGCTAGGTCAGCTTGCAAATTGGGTGAATTTATTTCTTTATGTAGCCATACATATAGGCCACCCCGCTCCTAGTTTATTCAATTTGAACTATGAACGTGCTCATTTATGAAGAACTGGGCCCTATTTAGCTACATGGTTTCTTTTGAGTCGACAATCATAGATTGCACGTTTAGATGTGGAATCATATGAGACCCCCCAAAAACACACAATTGCTGAAAATTGGGAGCAGCTTTTCTTGCCATTGTTAAATTGAGAACCATACAAAGCTGTAGTAGAGGATCTGAAATAATCCTAATGTATTTTCAGAAACAAAGACTTCCCAAAGGTCCTATAACCAACATTTGGGGGGGGGGGTGTCACAAAAACACCCTAGCTGTCCTTATATTGCATCATTACCTGGCCACATAGGACTTTTCCTTCTAAACAAACAGTAAATATAGCCCTCAGCCTCCAAAAGTTTACCTGTCCTGTGAAAGCAAATGACAAAATGCTTCCTGGGCTGAGATTTTGCAAGCTCACTCGTGCACGCTCTCATCTTTTAGAAAAGTTCTTTTTGAAGAATTCCGGTCTTGGCTTTCTGATGTGATCCAGGTAGAGCTGGAACCAACCATTGATCTGTCTTGTGCTAAATATGAATATACAGGTAAGCCAAAAAGAAAAGAACCCTGCAGGTAAGAATCCATTGTGTTGCTTCAAGAAACTGTATGAAATGTGGGAAAGATACTGTTGAACTAGAATTCAAGCTATAGAATGGGATTTGGGTGTGAGGAATCAGCACAGACTTGATGGCACGTAATCAGTTTGACAGCTCTGCCTTGTTTTAGCCACACTGTTGTGATCTGCCTAACAGAACCAAAATCATGTATTGTTCCAGATACCCTGCTGTGCCACGATGATGAGTTGGAGGGGCGGCGAATCGCGTTTATCCTTTATCTTGTACCCCCCTGGGATAAGCATGATGGGGGCACTTTGGATCTCTTCTGTACAGATGGTAGGATTTAATTATTTTACCTGCTTGTTAGATTTTATATCCCACCTTTCATTCAGGAGCTCAGAGCAGCTACATTGTGCTCTATCCTTCCATTTCCCCCACCCCCATCATAACTCTGATTGATTGAGGTGCCAGTCCAATACCTAGCCCTCTATATGACATTACTGTTTGGAAATTATACATCTGCTCCTTTATCTGCAATACTTATATTGCTAACACTTTAATTTCTGAAAACATTCAGACTTTTAGAGGCAGCAATTTTATTTGGAGCAAAATTAGCACTGTAGAAGGATGAATTGGTTTACAGTTTCAACAAATAATGGTAGCTTCATCTAATTTTTAATAAAACTTTTTTTTTTAATTCTGCATCTAGCTGCTGCTAAAGATGCTATCTGTATAGCTGTCTGTGTGCCAAAATAAACAAAGCTGTGTGATATAAACAAATAGGCTGCACCTATAATGTGTTCTCTGGGCTTCTTTGTATTTGAGAGTTTTCTATTTCTTATTCATAAATCTCCCTTGGCTTCGTTTTTTCCCTCCAGCCCCTGCTTCTGCTATGGTATGTTAGGGTCCTGTAGGAAGTTAACAATGTTCCATGATGTCTCAGCAACTCATTGGCCACTGAGCTTTTCAAGTGAGGGGCAGCCTCTGGCCATTGTTAACCCTGTTTTCAAAAAGGAGGTCCTGGAACATTGACACGTAACTGCACTTTGAATATTGTATCACAAGGGTTAGAAATTAGGTATTCAGGGGTGCCAAATCCCTTATACAGAATATAAAACTTACGACCACAGTAGGAGCCAGAAAGTTTGCCATTAAGTGGTGCAGTCATTAAGCAAGGCATCATGTGACCACGCCCAATTTTATGACCTTTTGTGGTGGTCGTTAAATGAATCACACAGTCGCTAGGTGAATCATGAGGGTCCCCATTGATTTTGCTTGTCAGAAGCTGGCTGGGAAGGTTGCAAATGGCAATCATGTGACTCTGGAACGATACAACCATCATAAATACATGCCAGTTGCCAAGCACCTGCAAGGACCAGTTGTAAGTCTTTTTCAGTGCCATCATAACTTCAAACAACTGCTAAACAAATGGTCATAAGTCGAGGACTACTTGTATATACATGTGTGTGTGTGTAAAATATACTGGCCAGTGTCTCACATTTTTTGCACTTTCACACAACACCTCTTAAGGTTTCAGGAGCGAATGGCACAACCTCAAGAGTTTTTGACATTTTAGATGAGATCTTAAGAGACTTTGAATGGTTTTTTTATTTTGCTTCCTAAAAAACGTTGAGTGCTAACTGCTACCAAGATGCATGCGTGGTGGTGTCTTCCACAGGGTGAGGTTGACTGTTCCTGTATTCCAAGTTCTATTTTGGCCAAAGCTTATTGGCATCATCTGAATAAGGGAGGCAGCATTGCTCAGGAATGAAACTAATTATTTCATTCATAAACCACAGGTGACTCCCTGATATTTCCACATTAAAGGCTTCTTAGTGCCAAAGCTGATAGAGGCCTCTGAATTTTTGGTGAGTCAGGTTCAACCTCAACACTGCACTTGACAATCCAGCATGCAATTTCAAATGTTCATAACCACAGAAATCCTCTTTATCATTAGTGCGGCTTTTGTTTTCTAACACCGCAAGTTCCTCCACCTTAGACACGCGCTGACTTACTGCCACAGTAGGCTGCTGTATATTTGGGGGGTATACAGTGTGGTGCTTATGGTATTAGGGCAAGGCTGAGACTTGGATCCTCCTAGATTAAGTCTTGGTTGTAACCTTGATTCTTCTGTTTCATCTGTCTCCAAGGGTCACTGTTCCTCTCTTTATTCAGAAGCCAAACAAAGCCAGAGGGTTATGAAATGTAGAGGAGACAGTAGGAGAATGCCAGATTGTCGTGCTTACTGGTACGTGTCTCGTGGTCCTTTTCTCTGGCAGATCATTTCCAGCCTTTGCAGATTGTCAAGTCTTTGGTCCCTTCTTGGAACTCGCTCATTTTCTTTGAAGTATCGCCAGTCTCCTTCCACCAGGTAAGCAATTTCTTTTTCTTCTTGACCTACAGTTTGCTACTAGGATGGGGCAGGGGAGTGTTCCCAGGCTCTAAATAAGCCCGCGCATCCTTCAAAGCCAGAAGGACCATTCAAGGTCTCATATTTGGACCAGCGTTTGGCCAGAGTCAGAAGCTGTCCCTCTTATCTTGAAGTTCCTCAACTCCACTTTCTAGCATACCTTCGTACAGTGACCTCCCTGGCCAGGTTTAATGCTGGCTCTCAACTCCTAGTCCCTCTTTGCGAACTGGCATCAACGTGACTCTGAATATCCATACGCAGTACTCCACCACCCAGCTCCTTCTTGCTTTGAGTTGGATTTGACCTTCATCCAAGGAGCCCACAGCAGCAAGAGTCTGCACCAGACTCTCTATCTTCTGTAGGTCTGTTGATTCTGAGCTTCCATCCAGGAGGGCCTCGGGCCCCATCTCCCGTATCATCCTTACGCCACTGCATGACCACCCACAGACTGGCTTACCTTTATTTGTAGCAGTTCAGCCATGGGCTGAGATAGTTAATGCTCTCCAGCTGGTATTTCACAACTGAAGTTATTTTCAAATGTTGCTGCATGGTCCGCTTTTTCTAGCTTTAGACACATGGGAACCCACTGCCATCTGCTGGATTGAAGTATTAGCTCAATATAGTTGACTCTGACTGGCAACTGCTCTCCATAATTTCTGGCAAGAATTTTTTCAGACCTCCCTGAAGATGTTGGGGTTGAATCTCGGGCTTTCTGTGGGCTAAGCAGATGTTCTGCCACAGTCCTGCAGCCACTAGATGGTGCAGGACAAAAATATGAAATGGATCCAGCAGCCTCAGGCACTTTTATAAAATTAAGAAGCATCTTTGTCTGAGGAGTCAGTGCTAACAGTGTTCTTTTGGCTTTTCCTCTGACCCAGGTGTCTGAAGTTGTTTCCAAAGAGAAGTGCCGCTTGTCTGTGAGCGGCTGGTTTCATGGCCCCTCGGTTGCAAGACCAGCACGTCACATTGAGCCACGGATTCCACGAGCACCCCACATCCCTCGTGATGTAGGCTCCTTGCTACCTGCAGTATTGGCATTGCTCTACCATACTTTTGATCCTTAGTCTGACCTACCAAGGAGAAACCCCCACATTTTTTCTGGAAAGGCCATCTCTGCCTTTGCTTTTATGTTTCATCTTTCAGAGCTATAGTCTAACATCTGGAGGGTGTCAGGTTGGGGGTAGCCATTTCTCTGGACAGAAGCTGGACTTTGCTGATTTTGTGCTGCGCGTGTGGTGTGCACTTCAGTGTGATTGTGGGGAGGAAGGGCTTACTACTAAGTGTAAGGCATTATGAGTATACATGCTGGTCTATGTCTGACAAGATACCAGCACTCCTGCCATTAGAGTAATAGCAGAGAACAAAGATAGTTTCTTTTGGACAAGTAGATTTTTGGTGCCATAATGTAAATCTTGGCCTTGTCTTCCCCTCCCCCAAACTAACATTTTTCCAGCATGAGATCTTGTATGACTGGATCAATCCGGTTTATCTGGACATGGATTCCCAAGCACAGATCCAGGAAGAATTTGAGGATCGGTCTGAGATCTTGCTGAAAGACTTTCTCAAGGTGGGTCCTAAACTCAGCAACATCAATCCCCTTGGGTAATAGGAGATATGCCACAGGTGTCATCTTTATTCTCATATTTCTTTTGAGCTTTACAGGATAGGTGGAGAGGTGTTAAGTACTAATTTCAGAAGAAGAATCTTAAAATTGTTTGTATATAACTCATTGTGAGCACAGCAGTAACTAGAATTTTTCTTCCATTAGAAACTAGCCCTTTTTTTTTAATCTTTGATTTGAGGGTAAGGGGAGAGGGGAAATGGCTGTTCAGGTAGAAATTGTTACATTATCTCTTGAGGACTACTGATGCCTAAGAATATCCAAACAATTTCATTCTATGCATATTTTGTTAGACTTTCTCTTTAGAGAAAAGAGGAATGCCAGTAGAGAAATTGAAAAGAAAAAGAAAAAAAGCCTAACAGCATTCTGGGAGATTTATGTCATACATTTTTTCCTGCTTTTTCACCACTATAAAGATGAAGTAGGCAGGTGTTAAGACATTGGAATTTAAAATTTCTGAACAGTTTGGTTCTGCTTGCCACCTTCTGCAGATTTTCTCCACCTGGAATTCAGATAGTTGCTGTGAGTGATAGGTTTCTGTAAGAAGCGTTTGATGGAAAAGTGAATGCATTTATTTTACCCCATTGTTCAAAACAAGTTTGTAATTAACCATCCTGACACCGAATGCTTGTATCTTTCTAACGCAATTGAATACTAAGTCACTACCTGCCAGTGTAACAGCAGTGACAAGCCTGAGGAAACTAGCAGTTTTTTTCTGGCCTGTAAAAAGCATCAAACGTAGCACAGAGGAATGATGGAAGAGAGGAAGTCCCATAATTTAAGAGCAGCCCTCAGAGTGCATTATGCAGATGAGGCTATCCTGATTTCTGGGGATCTCTTGTTCTTGCTTTTTCTGGCAAAGTGGCAGATCCCAAGTTGAAAAGCCAAAGCAGAGAGGCCGATATCACTTTGGTAGAGCAAGCTGTTGTTACTCAGTAGTTTGGTTGCCTCCAACTCTTCGTGACCAAGGAATTAATTCCATCAGGTTTGTCTGAGAAAAACAACTGCTTTTGCAAGCTCCCAGCTTCCAAGAGCTTGCTTCACATGTGCTCTCCTTGCCCTTGGTTCCTAGAGAGACAAGTATCAGCTGGTTTGCAAAGCTCTGGAGATGGAAGGACTCTGTTGGAGCAGCAGAGGGCCCCCGAACAAAAGGTAAGGCTGCTCCAGGCTGCGTCACTCCCAGCTGAGCAGTTGTGATCTTTCCAGCCACTCACCTGGGCAGGCTGTATTTGGCTCTTACTCAAAGGTACCTGTGAACGTAATGTGAGGATCTCATGTGAAACAGGATCACCTTGAGAATTTCGGTTCATCCACCTGGTAGTCTTTACCCTGTTAGGGGTATGAGCATCGGGGCTTGAAATTCCAAAGGGCAGAGCAGCTGAGCAGGACTGCTGCAGTCAGGAAGTAAGAGTTCAGCATCCTGGGTTGTTCACATTCTTTCCTCGTTTGCTAGCATTTCTTTCTTCCTGCCTTTAAAAAGGAAGCTGGCATTGTGTGCCTGATAAAAGTTGCCGTGAGTAGCTGCTTCTGCACTTTGGACACAGAGCACAAAATATGGGTGCCCTTTTTGTAACAGGCCCATCTTAGAGGTCCTGTGCAATTCTGTTTGCCAGAGCAAGCTGTCCTGAATCACAGCCCCTGCTTGTCTTTCTCCAGCCACACCTCTTAACCTAGTCTGTGTCAAAGGTTTGTTGTGAGAAGAAACTAGAATGGAATCCAGATGTAGCGTGCCATTTTGCACCTAAGCTAACGTTTGCGTGTTTTCATCTTTCCTGTAGATCTTAATTGTGCTGTGCTAGCAGAGCCTTTCAGCCAAGTATTTTGAAGAGGCAGAAAGAAAGAGCAAGAAAGTTCTTGTTAATAAAGCATTGTTTTGGTTTTTTTTAGACATTACGAGAAAGCAGATGAGAAGAGCTTGCCGGCCCCTTTGAAAGAGTGCTTTGAGCTCTTTTGCTCAGAGGCCTTATTCCTGCTCCTTTCCAACTTCACGGGCCTGAAGCTGCATTTTCTAGCCCCAGGGGCAGAAGAAGAGGAAGGAGGAGGAGGAGAGTCTTCTGAAAGCTCCCAAGGACCGAGCAGTCAAGAGGAAACTGGCAGTAGAGACCATGCAGAGGGGCCAGGGAGCATTTCTGAAAATGAGAGCAACCAAAAGAATGGTATATTGGCCTTCCAGATTTAGCTGCCGTCTGTTTGGGAGTGCAGCCCATCCTACAGGGTGCCCAAAATGCTTAGTAGTCCATATCCATTGGGTCTCTTCAATTCCACCTTGATGTGGGTATTTTGAGAACACACAAGATCAGTTCATTACCATTTGACCTAAATGCTTGACCTAAGCCAAATGAAGGTTGTAAGTTCATAGTTAGAAATGGGGTGGAATCTGATTGAGATTTTTTGGATCAAATATGGATTTTTCAAATCATTACTGCTCTCCCCTTGCTGTAATTCCTTTGGAGCACAGAACTGCATATTGAGCAGTTTCTTTTTTCTATGCATGTTTCTAACTTTCATGCCTGTGATGACATTTGAAAAGGAGCTGAGCAACCATTTCTGAAATCTGCAAAGTCCAAAGAATACTTGAATGTCACATTTAATTCTGTCCAAAAGGATTCAGAATGAGAGCAGCTGGGCATTTCCAAATGGACCTGTTTTCAAAAAGTTGAGGAATTCCACTCTCCCTGGTTACATGCTTGCCCTGCCAGGACACACAATTAGTGCTGTTTACCATCAAATACAGAGACCCAGGGCTCTTGTTCTCCCATCACGGTGGCTGTTTACTGATCTGGCTTCATGTATACAGATTGAGTTTCTTTTGGTCTGTTCCTCCCCCACAAGTTGAGGTGGAAACAAAAGCCTTTTTATCCCTTTCTCCCTAGCAAGAGAACTTTGGGCACCAGCCCCTCCTGTAGCCGCTTCTCCATAGCCTTTGCTTGGGGGTGGGGTGTCTTAACAGCTGAGAGGCACAATTAAGGAGATCGTTCTCTAATTCTGGCCTTCCTGTCCATGTTGAAGAACCATTTGCTTCAATATCAGCTTGAAAGGCTGTTGCGGGGTACATCACAGTGATGTGAAATTTCAGGGGATCAGAAGTTAGAAATCTAAGGATGGGTTTTCTCCCCCCCCCCCAGCAATTCTTTAGAATGGTTTGTAGCCACCCTAGAACCCAAGAAGGCCTGGTCTTTTCCCCTTTAGGAGTTCCTCTTTGTGCTGGAGAACTGAGACGCTGGAGAAAAGGTTGCTATACTTTGGTTCACGATGCCCAAACAACAGAGTTTGCACTTGACCTGCTGCTCTTCTGTGGTTGTGAAGGTTGGTTTCATTTTAAGCCATCTGAAATGTTCGCATAGAGGCCTCTTCCTTCCCTCCTTCCAGCAGAAATAGCAAAGGAGAAGGAAGAACAGGATGGAGAGGTGAAGGGGGGAGGGAGCTCTGTTGAAGCCCACAGAAAGGATTTAAACTCACCAAACAAGCAGCCCCTCCCCAGCAACAGGGTATCCGCTCACTAATCTTCAAAGGCATTCACACCAGCCAGGTTTGCAGTCTCTTCCCCGTTCTTTGTTTTCAGCAGCTTGTTTTTAGCAGCTTGTTTTTATCCATTAATGCAAGACAATCTTCTTAACTCTCAGACAACCATGGAAGGGAAAAATCCTTTATGCCTAAACAACTAAATACAATATCCCCTTGGAAACTGCTTTTATTTCTAGCCTTGTAGATGTTGTATACCTATCCTAAAAATCAGAAGCCATCACTAGGTCTTTTGAATTGAATTGGCCAACCCTCCTCTAAAAACAAATTTTAAAATCTGCTTAGTACCAAAGTTACCTATTGTACTTGGGCAAATGGATTTGTGTGCGGCCAGTCACTTTAAAACCTAAGTGTGATGCTCATTCCTTTCCCTTTTAAGACTGGGATGTCGAATCTGGAGGCTTCACTTCATACATTGCAAAAGGTGAAGATGAAGAGGTAAGGGTTTTTTTTCTTTTTCACAGATGAACTTGCCCAGACCACAGGTTGTTTTGAAACTGATCATATGTTTTCCTTAATCCCACCCTTTCTAGACATTTGGTCTTGGGAAGTAGCTCGTGGCTCCCTCTTAAAATTCTAGCGAACTGCATTACCTGCCTGTGGCAAAACATTGCATGCCACTTGAAAAGCAGTTTCCTTATGACCTTGGCCTAACACCATCATGCAAGGGACGGTGAAGCAAAAGAAGGAATCTCGATACCCAGAATTGTGCTGGGTCAGGGAAACTATTCAAAATTGGAGCGCAGGGTGAAACAATCCAAATGTTCTATGCCATGCATGACCTTATATTATTTCTTCCCTTGCCCTGCTTTATTCCAATATAATATATAAATATAAATGTATATAAATTTTATATAAATATATTGTAGTATATATAAATAAATATATAAATGTGACAAATAAATAAAATACCCCGATTGTTAGTTTTTCCCTGTAGGGGAGAGCTGATTCAGTCCAGTAATCATTTTGGTACCCCCCCACCTTTTGTTTTTTTCCATTTTTTTAAAACTCTATATTTTTCTTTTAAACTGCAGTGACAGAACCGTACAGAATACTCCATCATAGATTTGTAATTAATGGCATTATGTTATTGCCAAGTTGTACTTTCAATTTCCCTAATTCTTTTAAGCAAAGAATTTGCCTTTTTGTGCAGTTTCAAAAGAACTGGAGCTGGCTAAACAGAAGAACATTTTGTTCCCACGGTAGCCAGTCAGATGCCTCTGTGAATCTGAACACAAGCATAGTAAATGTAACACCTCATAATGAGTAGCCATTGATAATTTTGTTTTCTATGGTGCAGTGAAACTTCCTTAATGTACATTTTATGGGAAATGATAGTTACATTCACTTATTCTGAGCATACAGCCTGCATGTTTCTAGTAGGGGAAATAGGATTTTATTGAAGCCCATAATATGGACAGGTCTGCAGAGATGCATTCATGAAGGTGAGGCTTTCCTGCAACATCTTCAGAAGTAAATAATACTACAGTAGTTGTTTTCTTAACCTTTCTTGTTTTATTCTCTTTTCAAGCTGCTGACGGTTAATCCAGAGGCCAATTGCTTGGCTTTAGTTTACAGAGATCGAGAGACACTGAAGTTTGTGAAGTACATTAACCAACGTAGTTTGGAGCAGACACCAATGCAACCTGAGCAAACAGGATTCTGGGACTTCTCCTTTGTTTACTATGAATGAGAGATGGTGCAAGTACATGATGGTGAATCATTTCTCCTAGTTAAATACTCAAGAGGGCAGTTTTCTTACAGGCAAAGATACTGTTGCACAATCTGCTTTAATCTGATGTCCCTGCAAAACTTAAAACCGCTTCTTTACTAGAGGCCCTTTTGGAAAGTTACATGGACACCATGGTCTCAACTGCTGCGGAAGCCACAAAGCTTCCTGATTAGCAATGCAAGTATCCCATTGTTTGGGCTGAGGCAGGACCTTGGTTATGGCTCAACCTAAACAGCTTCAGAAAACAAGGCAGCATGGAAAAAGCCAACACTTCCTGTGTTCTCCAGATCTCACCACTGCGAACAGATGACAAAAGGAGGGAGTTTCCTGCTGATCTAATTATGTGGTATTTTGTAGGTTGGGTTAATAATCATGGAAGTTATGGTTTGTTGAGTAAGCCTGTACTGGTTGGATTCACAGACCTTGTTAAACCATAAATCATGCCAGCCATTGCAATGTGTAAGTCTAAATTGATTACTTTTAGCTGCACTAAAGGGCCAACCCTAACTGATCTATAATAGTTGGAGCCAATTTAAAAATCAGAATTCTGAATCAGAAACTTTTAAATTTGGAAAGGGCAATGACACTTTTTAAACTTTATTTTTAATCATCTCAAGATCTCACATTAGTTTATAACAGTAAAAAAGGGTTGGTATTACCTTAAGCTTTCAGTTTCTTGCTTCATACAAAGCTAGATTATAGTTTCTCCTCATCATCTAGAATGGACTAAATTGTACAGATGGGCTGAGGTCTGTCAGTTTTATTGAAGAATCAAAAATTGCTACTTTAATAAACAACCTCCAGGGCGATTTCAGCTTCTGAAATTCCCAGCTTTGGTCTGTAATGTCCATAAAAGCTTGGACATCTCTCGGCTAGCATGATATTTATATAGAGCAAGTGTACTGGCCTTCTCTCCCCTACCACAGGCAGAATGTTCAGTCCTAGTAAAGTCTTCATAGTGAACTCCACTGGGCACTAATCTGACAGCATAATCTACTGTATCTGCTGCTAGATCTTTCTGTTGGTCTCACTGGGCTGGCAATCACCTCCCATCTTCACTCTGATCAAGAGGAAGTTGTCCCCAGATGCATTATTTTGATGAGCATATTAACACTGTTGTTCTTAATAGCATCCCGGCAGGCAGCAATCACTTGCATCTTGGGTTTACCGACTGGGAAAGAAAAACAAAGAGTTAGCCAAGTCTGTTCTTTTCCAAGAATTCAAATGAAGAAGCCTCTTTTCAGTTCAGAAGGAGAAAGCATTCCCCCAAACAGCTGAGGGCTTAAGAGGGGACAGCCTGTGCAGAACAAAGCTATTCTTGCTTCTCGCTGTTTGCATATTTTGAATTTACTACGAAAGCTGGTGAGCCTCCTTGCCCCGTGCCATGCTAGCAGTCAGGTGCCAGCATCTCCTACTACAGCAGTTTGAAAGGAGAATCAAGGGCTCTCTTGAAACTATGCAAGAGAAAAACAAATCAGGGATTTGAGACTGGAGGTATACAAAATAAAGCCTTGAGAAAGGGAAGAGGCCGTGTCCACTCCAGATGTGACATGTAAAGAAAAACAGCACATTCTCCAAAATCCTATTTGGCCTTTTGGTTAATGCTGTTAGTGAAGTAGATAGAAGCAAACAAGGTTCTTCTATGTAAAGAGGCCTCCCATTTCAACAAATTTAGAGAAACAGTGGACCAACATTTGCCTCTTTAGAAGCACTCCTTTTATTTCCTGCTAGGAGAGGGAGGACTGAACTCTGCTGAGCTGCAAATTGGGACCAAAGTAGTCTAGATTGTGATTAGTAGTGTGTCATACAAAGGCCAAGTAAGGCCTCTCCTGGCAACAGAATCCTCATACTGCCTCCCATCCAGGGTCACTCAAAGGCTCATCACAGCAGAACCCTTTTCCTACTAGCGGCAGTTTTGTTTTTCCTAGAGGACTGTGCCTTAGGAGAAAAGTGCATGCTTTCCAAAATAATTACTTTTCCTCTAAGGAATCCATGCCAAATGAATGCTCATTTACTCTCCCCAAAGCAAAGCAATGATTTTATTGATGGCTTTCAGCTTGACCACTTTTTCCCTTCAACAGCAGCTCACATAATTTGAACGGCTATCACATCTTCATTCTCCTGTTACATTTCCATACCCCATTAAGCACCTCCTACTACATTTGGACTTGACATAAGCATGTGAGTGCCGCTCTCCATGCGACCACAGGCCTTTAGTGGGGAACTGGTTCGCGCAGAGAGCAATGCTCACGTTCAAGGAAATGCAGGCCTAGCCCCCTTGTAGACCTCCAGCCAAATGTATGAATGTCGGAGAGTATATTTTCTACCCTGTTTAAAGATTTCCCTGCATTCAGCCGAGTGCCTGCGAAAGCTCAAGAATGGAGCATCCGCACTCAAAATTCACACCTACGTCTTTCCAAGTTTTAATTCACTTAAGCAGACACTTTTCTTCTTTTTAAACTTCAAAGTGACATGACATTTCAGTGATGAATAATCCTCTGCGTCCCTCCCTCAGGGCCTACCTCTGAGGTTTCCTGCTCGTTGGATAGCTTGATTTATTGCTTTGAGATTATTTAAAAGCTCTGTGTGATTGGTACAGCGAATCTTGTACTGAGACAGCAAATCCCTGTTGAGGTCATACAGTTCCATATACCGTTTCCTCATGTTTTTCCTGTAAGGGTAAACAAAAATAAGTGTATAAAGAACTACATTGAAAGCTATTTAGCAGTGACTTGAGATGCAAAAAATCCAAGACAAGCATTCCTCAAGTTCCTGTTAGCCACAAAGTTGGGAAGTTCTAGAGAAAGAAGTGGAAGGGCAGCTCTCGGCATTTTAGTATGTGATGCTCCTAGCAACCTCCTCATTCCCCCTTTGCTGGCCTTCATTTTGGGCTTTCTGAAGGAAAGAGAATTCTTAAGGAGAGCAATGATTTCCTTTCTAACGTCTAGCAGAGTTTCAAGTAACTAGCACAAAAGAGGTTGCTGTCAAAATGAAAAAGTAGCTACAGACCGAGGACAAGGTTCCATGATTAGAATTCTTATATTTGGATGCACATGGAATAGGAATGTACTTGTTTGTGTAGCTGCAACACAATTCTACGTGCACCTAATTGCCAGTCTGCAACAGCATCCTGAGTTAGGGATTTGCTTCATCTTGAAAATGTGTTTGGATAATTAAACATCACATAACTTTTTCATGCAGATGCATCCAGAGATTTGGTTCAAATGTGTCTCCAAGAGTGGTACCGCACTTCGTTGTCAATCTAGGCACCTATTTTGCCTTTCCTAAAAGAACTCTCCTATCCCATCTCTAACACTGGAAAATGTTTTACAGCAATACATTTATTTGTAAGAGAATACAAAAAACACAAATATTTTGGGCACTAACAATAGACCAATGCATGTTGCTTTTTAATACAATACAGGTAGTCCTCGTTTAGCAACCACAACGGGGACTGGCAACTGGGTTGTTAAGTGAAATGGTCGCTAAGTGAAACCACGACTGTGCTTATGATCTTACTTAAGCTTTCCTTTGCTTTACAGACCTGCAAAGGTCATCAATGAGAGGATTGGTCCTAAAGTTACTTTTTCATCACCATCATAACTGCAAACGGTCACTAAAGAGGCAGTAGCTAAACAAGGACTACCTATACTAGGAGTCATGTCTCTGTCCCACTACAGTTCAGTTCAGGAGGTATTCCCCATAGTGCATCTGAAACTTGGCTTCTAGTCCCATTTTGTTTTGATGAAGTAGCAGTTTTGTTTTGATCAATCAGTATTATTCACTGAAAACACTCACCAGTCCCCCATGAGGCGTGAATCTTCTGCTCGAACTAACATGCTGCGGATGAGATTGGAGCTGTCAGCCATATTGGCTGTGAGCTTCTGACAAACTGCATGAGAATTGTCCACCTACGTAGGAGAACCATCCAAATTTAAGACACTTGTAATATGTGCTTGGCAGACTGCGGACTTACATATTTGGCTTCCTGGAGAAGGGGAGTCCCTGAACTGCCTATGATCCCTAAAGTCTTAATGTTATGGAGCCACTCCTTTGAGGCAGACACTCCCTCCTGGTCCAGGGTTTCTCAACCAAGATTCCACGAGAGGTCACTAGGAGTTCCCTGGGAGATCATGATTTATTTTAAAAAAGCAGAGACAAAAACCAAACAAAAACCCTCCAACCTCCAACACTGGGTTGGCCCGCTGGAGCATGCGCAGACTCTGGGCAGGGGCGGGGATTGAAGGAGAGGAAGGAGGAGCAGCAGGTGGTGAGAGAGCACGTGAGAGAGATGCTGCCAGGGCCCTTCTTGCCAGTGCATGCCTGCCTTTCTGCAGGCACAAACCTGCCTTTCTGCAGGTGCAGCAACCCAGGAGGCTCTGTCTCAGGGCAGGCACAGGAGATCCGGGGCTGGGCGGGCCCGGGCACCAGTGGCAGCAGGAGCCACCCACAACGGCGGGGGGGAAGGAGGCGGGGGAAAGGAAAAGGTGGTGGTGGTGGTGAAGGCTTTGGTATCAGGGTGCCAAGATTTCAGGAGAGGTTGAGGAGTCAAATATTAAGGGGAAGGGTGTTGGAGGTTGCAAGGTGTCAGCCCCCTCTAGTTTTGCAAAGGGGTCCTTGGCAGAGGAGGTGGAAAGGTGAAAAAGGAGAAGCTGGATTTGGAGAATGAGGTGCTGATGGTGCAGGGAGAAAGGAGGCCAGCCAACCTGACTCAGCACACCAGCGTCATCTGCATCCCTGCGATGCATTTTGCAATTATCGTTCATGACAGTTTGATATATTGCTAAAAAACTCTACATGCCATTAAAAGTAGCCCAAAATAGCAAAACACACACACACACACACAAAATTTCCCACAACTGATCTCCAAAACTCAAGTCTGGCCCAGAATTTAGTATTTGTGCAGCAAAAAACAAGCACAGGTTTCACATTAAAGAGTTAATTTTCATTATTTTTAGTTTAAGAACACTGTTAATGCATATATACAGGCCTACACATGAAACAAATATAATAATTTTGTAACTCCTGGCCTATATTTGAGCCTGAATGTGCAGAGGTTCCCCAAGGCCTGAAAAATATTTCAAGGGTACCTCCAGGGTCAAAAGGTTGAGAAAGGCTGTCCTGGTCTAATACTTCCTTGAGATTTTAGGGGTCTGGGACTCCACCGGACTCCACAGACATCTGTTTCCAAAATCATTAGCATTCCAAACCTCACAGCTGGGTAACTCAGATCCAAACGAAAAAAGTAATTTTGTTGAATGAATCGCTAGCTTAAAAGCAAAGTTGTTGACAACTCAATTCTCCTGTTACAAGTTCGTCTGTAATGGAGCATAAATTCCATCAGTAGAAAAACAACTAGATAGCTTGTGTTGCCACGAAACAAGTAATCTCTTCCAAGAGAAGATGGTCTGATCTACTGAAAGAGGAATAATTAAGAGTGTGGTGCTTCTTTAGGAAAGTTCTAGATAGACCAGTTGGTCATAGTTCACTATTTCAAAGCCCCTGAGAACATCTCTTGCCTGTGGCCCAACAAATTCATGGATTTCCTTAGCTCCTGCCCATTCCAATTTATCTAAGTAATGCCAATCCACCATACTGAGGTATCCCAGATATGAAGTTCTTGGTGCTTTCTGAGCTACGTTGCTGCTTGCAACATTTCACTGCCCAGCTGGGTAATATCATCAGTACGAGTGAGGGTGGGGTTGGCTGCCTGGCAGGCCAAGCTACTACACAGTATATAGTAGCATCTGCCAGCAAACAGCCAAGCTCAGAGAGCACCAAGAACTCCACAATTCAACCCCGGGCTACACATATCCTCCTTTATTGGTATCCCAGATATGTTTGAGAAGCGTTGCTCACTTACCACAACCAAGGCCTTGCGCACCTCCTCAAAATACACAGGGAAATCTGCTTCAGCCTGTAAGTCTTCAATTGCCCAAAAGGAGGCCATTGACTGGATGATGTCACCAGCCAGGTCAATGTTATCAGTGTTAATGGAGATCTAATAGCCAGAAAAGAAAAGCCTCAAATTTGCCCCAAACAAACTCATAACAATGACAGAAGTTGATGTTTAAAGAGCCTTCCATTCCTGAAGCCAAGTTGGTATAGTCCAAGAGCTACCCTTGAATGAGAATCTATTGTGAGGAAACTAACATGTAATAGCTTACAGTCTCTGCCCTGGACCTACAAAGCTGATGAGAAACAGAAATTGTCCACTACTATCAACCATGCCATTGAGTGCCATTGGGAACAACCTCTTCCCTCTAAGAGAACCATACTCTGCTATTGCTCATAAGACAGGACACAAAGGATTGGAGTATGTGTATACATGAGAACAAATCTCTTATAAGCTTCCTTTAGAATCAAGAGATTCGGATAAAAATTACTTAAATATAAGCATAATATAACAAAGGGTTTCAAAGAACAAACGGAGGGAGAAAGGCTAGTTTTCACAATCAAGGAAACTCATCCACTGAAATTCATCTTGAATGAGGACCAATTTGCCTCTAATTTAAATCCTTCTTGCATTATTCCAATAAGGCACTTCAAAAATCCAAATATTTACACAAAAGGAAGAGGACATGACCATAACCAATACAGGTAGTCCTCAATTTACAACCACACTGGGACCAGAATTTCCATCACTAAGCGATGCAATCATTAAGCGAGTCGCACCTGATTTTATGACCTTTTTGCCATGGTTGTTAAGCAAATCACATGGTCATTAAGTGAATTCAGCTTTCCCCATTGACTTTGCTTGTCAGAAGCCCCCTGGGAAGGTTGCAAATGGCGATCACATGACCTCGGGACATGCAACCTTTGTAAATACATGCCCGTTGCCAAGAACCTGAATTTTGATCACGTGGCCATGGGGGATGGCTGCAACAGTCGTAAGTGCAAGGATTGGCCATACGTCACTTTTTTCAGAGCTGTCATAACTTTGAACAAATCAGTATCCAAAAATCAAAATTGCCATCTTGCCACCAAACCTTTCTTGCTGGTCCCCTGGGTGAATTCTGATTCCCCCAAAAAGACCAGGGAAGGGCCTATTTCCCAGTCTAATTGCAACATGATGAGACAAGCAAAATAGTACCTCTCCACTGGAATTCATTCGGATGTACAGCTGCCCTGTGTCACGCAGGGAGGTAAAGCAGACCTCAAATGACTCATTCTGCATCTCCACATCTTCTGGTAACAGGAAACTTTGTTTGAGCCACATTATGACCTTGAAGCATAAATTCACAACTTTGAGTTTTGAGAACAAGAGTGGGTGGAAAACAGGTTGCAATGCCCTGATAAATCTCTGGTGATCTGCAGCTGATGCCCTACATACTCGCATATAGGAAACACACATGCAACTATCCTGAGTTCAAGAAGTCTTAGGGATAGGAGATACTATTGTTGCAACAGCTCTTATCTACAGCTGGTAAACCATGATTCTAGTACTCTAGCTGGTGAACATAGGATTCTAATTTTTTAAAAATAGATTCAGCAAGTTTGATGCTTGTCCACGGAGGACAACTGCTGCCCATGGACCATCTTTGGTATTAAGAGCCAGATGTGCAGTTTTTCTCCCTTGCCAGCTGTAGAGTGGTAGAAGCAAGGGCAGGGTTGGTTCTGGTTTAAGGAAAAATAGGAAGCACATTCCTTTGGAGGGGGCTCAATGCCTGCCATACACTGCACTTTGCTGCCTTCTTAACTACCATAGCCAAGCTCAACCTAACATTTCCTTTCAGAGTAAGGAAGGAGTAGGTAGGCAACAAACCAAAGGGTTGTTCTCCCTTCTTGCCTATAGCTTTCATTTGTTCTTGTATTTATTGCTTTCCTTTATAGGATTTATATTCAAAGATGGCTCACCTCCACCCCACTTCATGCCCTTCTCCTTAGCCCTGCTTCTCTTTCTCCCTCCTTCTGCATTTCTCTCCTCTATGTTACCGACTATAAGCTCAAAGCTTTGGTTAACAGGCAGCAGAAGCTTCTATTAATTCACTGAAACAACTCTTGGTTAATGGAGATGCTAGGCACATAAACACAGCCATTACATTAAAAACCAAGTATTAAACACTACATTGCTGGTCACTCTCCTCTGATGGAATCACCATACAAAAGCTTTTACTACAACTAAGATGAAAAAGAGAGAAGAGAGCCAAAGACTTACCATCTGCACCCTCTCGCTGAGAGTGAATTTTACAAAGCTCAGAGGCCTGGTCCCAGAATCTGGGCTGCACAGCAAATACATTGAGAAGCGAGGGAGTAGCCGTGACAGCTCAAAAACATGGAACTGTGTGCTGGGAAGGCATCAAACAAAATAATCAAGATGGCTTAACAGATGCGTTCTTAATTGTCTTCAGGTTAAAGCTATCTAAGCAAGCCATGATTCCTTCTATGATGCCCTGATCCTGACATTCATTTCAATTCACAGAACAGGGGAAAAAATGAACGCTGATGATCACCTCCATTTTATTTTCTCCTTTTTAGTGTTCTATCCATCCCCGTGTTACTATGCAAAACAGCCCTCATGCACACACAGCCACAGACTGCTTAATAATGCTATCAAGTAATTTTTAAAAAAAATGGTGTCTCTGGGAACTTGAGCTCTTGTTTAAAAAGAGAGCAGGTTTCTGGACTTCATGAGTGAATATAGATGCTTAAAAGTACAATAGATGTGTACATTCAAGGCCCAGAGACAGCAAGAGATTTCCAGATGCAGATGGGACAACCTTGTATCATTCCTTTTCCTGTTCCCTAAAAAGATTATTCCAACTCTTACAAATTTCCCAATATTCTGTATGCCTGATTCTTCCTTCTACCACCAAGACTGGGCTAAAAAAATGCACACAT